TGTTGACAGTGTGAATGTTGACAATGTGAATGTTGACAATGTGATGTTGACAATGTGAATGTTGACAATGTGATGTTGACAATGTGAATGTTGACAATGTGATGTTGACAATGTGAATGTTGACAATGTGAATGTTGACAATGTGAATGTTGACAATGTGAATGTTGACAATGTGAATGTTGACAATGTGAATGTTGACAGTGTGAATGTTGACAATGTGAATGTTGACAATGTGATGTTGACAATGTGAATGTTGACAATGTGATGTTGACAATGTGAATGTTGACAATGTGATGTTGACAATGTGAATGTTGACAATGTGAATGTTGACAGTGTGAATGTTGACAATGTGAATGTTGACAATGTGATGTTGACAATGTGAATGTTGACAATGTGATGTTGACAATGTGAATGTTGACAATGTGATGTTGACAATGTGAATGTTGACAATGTGAATGTTGACAGTGTGAATGTTGACAATGTGAATGTTGACAATGTGATGTTGACAATGTGAATGTTGACAATGTGATGTTGACAATGTGAATGTTGACAATGTGAATGTTGACAGTGTGAATGTTGCGAAAGTGAATAGTATCGGATTGCATTTTTTTGCTGAATCAGGGTTAACTAAATTGCTTTCATTTTTTTCAATTTATAGTTGGCAAAACAAGTCTCACAATATGCTACTTCGGAACAGCTAATCCAGTCATCACACTGGCAGGACATTATTAATGTACTTTTAAAAATAATTAAAAATAATCTCCATACATATATAAGGCAAAGTTGTGATTATGTGTCTGTTCAACATGTTTAGCGTACTTCCCGACATGCAACAAACCGCAAATTTGCCATGTGGGTACTTTCCAGACTGTACACCATGCAAACATTATAAAAATAGACTTTGGTATCTTTTTTTGGGGGGTGGGGAGCTCAATAATGCATATATTTTTTGCACGGCAAGTGAGCTGTGACGTCACTTCTGTCACGTGACCCGCGCACGTGGAAGCGTAACGCATTGTAGTGTAGCGGTTAGCGCGCTGCGCTACGAACCCGGCGACCCGAGTTCCATTCCCGCTCACGGCCACCACCGGTGACGATTATTTCAACCGGTCCTGGGTCTCTCCTAGGTCGACTCAGCCTCAAACGAGTAACTGGTGTGGTGTGTGAACATCGCCACTGGGGAGACAAAGGCAGCCGGGCGTGGTGGATCCAAGTCCCGGGCGAAGCCGGGTTGGAAAGCTCGTGATAACATAAATATTACTTTCTTAAAAGTAGAGTTACTTTCTAAAGTCACACTGGTCTACCTGTATGCAGTAGGTTTTTTTATTCGTTTCACGAGTGAGTTAAAGATTTTAAATCATTACCGTATTCTCCTGATTATAGGATGCACTGTTTTTTTCCTCTGTACTCTAAATAAAGAGTTGGGATTGCGTCTTTATATTGACTGACACAGCGCAGACATTCGACTGCGTCTTACTATAGGTCAACAATTTCTGCTATCGTACACACATCGTGCTATTGTTGTCGATAACAATGCTGATGCTACTGTGGTCGTGGTTATGTAATGAAAACACGTGCACGTGGGGAGCGGTGGTGCAGCGGTTAGCGCACTGTGCGAAGAACCCAGCGACACGAGTTCGATTCCCGCTCACGGCCATTATATGAACCGGTCCCCGGGCTTCCTTTAGGTCGACTCAGCCTCGGTGCGATGTGTAAACATCGTAACTAGACAAAAACGACCAGGCATCGTGCTGGACACCCACTTGCAGCACTTGCCCCAACAGCCTGCTAAAGGCTATACGGGGGAGCTTTGTATGCAATGATGTACATACACACGGAGAGCGGTGGTGCAGTGGTTAGCACAATGTGCTCAGACCTCGTCGCCTGTATTCAAGTCCGAGTCTCGACCATGGATAACTTTAGTGACGAGTGATATCAGTGGCCGTCCATAAATGACGTCACGCACCTGGGGGGGGGGGTCAGACATTTTTGACGATGTGTGACGAGGGGGGGGGTGAAAAATGTGACGTCACATCAAAATGCGCAACTTTAAATAAATATAGACAACACGTTCTACTTAAATTTTTATATAAAGCTTTCGTGACTGCAGGGATTCATATTCTTCGTTCTTTCGGTAAAGTCACGTAGAAGGGAAACCATGAAATAATAAAAATATGAAACAATAAAATGCTCACGTTTCTTGCTGTGTTTTTCACACCTGATGATGATTGCTTGTGTTTCAGTCGAAGCTTCGTGAGAATTTTATTGTTTTATATTTTTATTATGTTATTGTTTACCTTCTACGTGACTTTACCGAAAGAATCAATAATACGTTCTACTTAATTAAATATACTTTTGAACAAATGTTTTCTTGTACAAAATCAGAGTGCAGTTTTGTGACGTCATATTTGAGGGGGGGGGGGTCTGACTTTTTGTGACGCCGGGTGACGAAGGGGTGGTGGGGGAGTAAGAAATCGTCCAAAATCGCGTGACGTCATTTATGGACGGCCCCTCAGAACCGGTCCGAGCTCACCCCGAGGTCTCACTCGGGCGTTCACGACGGCACTGGGGGAGACAGGGCTGTATGGGCATGGTTCTGGCCACAGAATATCCGTGGTTGCGTTCTCTTCAACTTAATAGCTGCTTTCTTTCTCGAATCATCAGAATCATCAAAGAAAGCAGTGATTTTTATTCTTTTATTTTTATTAATTTTAATTTCATTTTTTACCTACGTGACTTTACCGAAAAAACTAAGAGTATGAATCCTTGCAGTCACGAAAAGCTTCAAATCTAGAATTAATAGGTGCTCGCAAAAGAGCCCACGAGATTCAATGAACAATTTTGTGATTGCAGCACAAAACAGTAGAACACTCGGGTAATGATCCCCATATACGATTAGAGCAGAGGTCGAGAACCTTTTTGACTGGGAGAGCCATAAAAGCCAAATATTTCTAAATATATTTCATTGAGAGCCATATAGTATTTTTTTACGTATAATAAATTAAATATGTCTTACTTTTAATGCGACTTCTGGTCACGGGACCCGTGACCCGTGAAATGTATCTTCAAAACTAATTTCTGTTTACTTTAAAATGACAGTATTATTCAGCAATATTACAAGTTTTTTTAAAATCCGTTCCAAACTGATTTTATTTTATTTTTCAACTCAAAATTGTCTGGGAGCCATATGCCGTCACCGGAAGAGCCATATATGGCTCGCGAGCCATAGGTTCCCGACCGCTGGATTAGAGCATTGTCTTCTGCAAGTCGGTATGCACAGCGGCGAGCAACCGCTGTGAAGAAAGACTTTGTCAACTTTCAGGTTTATTGTCAAACTCCACAGGAGACGAAATTCTTGGTTCAACAGCAATGCGCAGAGTGAGTGTTGATTGAATGATTAAACCCAATCAACATCCCAACCGTAATTATTATTGGTATTCGGCACTGACGTTGACGTGTTGTTGAGTTGTTTTCGGGACGTTCGACAAAGCACACGCTGTAGGTTACACCAATCGCGGGGCTTTGCCTACTAACCTACTAAGCCCTGCAATTGTCTGCTCACGTCATTGCTGGCAGGGTATTTGGTCTACTCTTCCACGATAGCCAGACGTCTTGGTGATCGTAGCTGTTATGGTGTTGTACAGAACTCGCTTCTGGGTTGTTGTTTTTCTGATGTGTCCATTGACTTCACTTCCACGCGGGCAGGTGGGCGGGGGGGGGGTTCGAAATTAGAACCAGCGAAGTCCACGGCATCATCTCGACACACTCGACGGAAACTCTCTCCATACCAGGGTAGTCGAAAACCAAAATAACAAGAAAAGCCAATTTTTGTTGGAATTCCGTGAGAAATAAAAAAAAACTCAAGATTTCAAGAGACGCGGTAGTAATGCGCCGTGTTGTGAACACGAGCCGGTGGTAAGTCCTTAATAAGTCCTTAATAAGTCCTTAATAAATAACGCCACTAAGCAGTCATTAAAGACCCGCAGGATTGAACGCCGTACACGAACTCACTTGACGTTGCTGTGGAAGATGAAGGGTAAAGGCCACGCACGGTGCAGATGGAAGCAGAAACGCCTTCCCGTGTCCACACACAGAAAGCCGATCAACATTTAGCGATCAGCAGCGGAGAGAGCATGCCATCGAGACAGAAAGAGGAACCGCGCACGATCACATCATTCAGAACCAAACACAAAAGCAAGTGGGCTTTGGGCAGCACATGCCACGGTCGCTTTATTCAACCGTGCTCGTCGAATGTGCTGACAGGGATTGATGGACGATGTGGTCAAGAATAATAACGGAGTGGCAGCCCAAGGAATGGAACGCGTCTGAGCGCACCGTCCCGCCGGGGAGATGGAGCAATGAATCCACTTCGCTTGCAGGTGCTCATGGGCGTTTGAGGCGCTCGCTAATAGCACTTGCCCCCAAAAGTCTGCCAAGGCTATACGGGGGATCTTTGTCTTTATTTTGTACATAGCAGGGTCGTGGAAAGGTGGCGGCGGCGACTTGAGGAGGTCTTCATCCAGCAGTGGATTGACTTCGACTGCTGCTGCTGATGCTGAGTTTCAGCATTCTTTGTTTAAAATTCCTGACTCTGCTGTTGGGTCCCCGAAGGTAGAGACCGTCCCAGAATGTTGCTCGCTCAAACTAATGCTGCTTTTGATCACAATGACAATATTGGTCTGGAAAGCCAATAGGCTGATGGTCTCGCCACAAACATTTGTTATTTATACGCGGACGCCGAGAACAAAAGGAGTTGTGCCTCTGTTTGCTTTTGTAGCTTATAGAGTGAGTCAGTGCCTATAGCCGGTATCTCTTATCAGGTGACGCACACGGTGGGGGTAGGGCAACGGTGGTGGTGGTGGTGGGGAGCAGAGGGGAGGGAGGAGAGAGGGAAGGAAAGAGAGAGGGGAGGAGGGAAAGAGAGGGAGGGAGGGAGGGGGGAGGTGAGAGAGGGGAGGGAGAGGAGGGAGAGAGACACAAAGACTCCCCACCACAGGCGCGCACATTCGGACTTGGAGCTGCTCGCGTGCTTCTCACTCCGGAGCCCGCACGGAGAGAGTGCGCGCACAACTCACGCAGGGTGTACAACCCCAGAGAGAGAGGGAGAGAGAGAAAACACAAGCAGTTGTAGTATATATATCACTGTTCTATTTATCGACGCTCTTTGTGTTTTTTTTGTTTACTAACAACAACAAAAAGATTTTTTAAACTGTTGGATTTTGTTATTTTCTATTGGTTATTATTTGTAGTTATTTTTCTTTTAAATCAAGCAAAAGGGGATATTTACAACAGACTACGACGGCTCAGTTTGTGCACGAGAACAGGTTTCTCCAGTGGCTATATACACTAGCTGCTACAGTAGGCAGGCGGTACGATCATTACACACGGTTGCGTGCCGTGCACTGCCACGAGAGTGAATCCGAGCGGCGCTCCCTTTGCACGCCCAGAGATCGTGCCGCGCTGCTGCAGTTGCGAGGAAGAAAAGGACGGCGATAGAACGAACACCCCGTGGTGACTTCGGTAGCATCAGGCAGACTGAAGAACCGAGAACAACATCGCCGCGCCGACTCGATAAAGACGACGAGCGATATCAAACAGGAGGAGCTTGCGCCGCCGAGATTTGAACTTTATTGAAGTCTGCGCGAGAGAAACCGGGGAGAGCGCTCCGCATCGTCATACCTCGTGCCACCTGCTTTCGGGTGAGCAACGGTGGCATTATAATCATCATCATCAGCAGCAGCGGCAAGCAATGAGCATCAGCAGCAAGCAGCAAGAACGTGCCACCAACATCATGTTCCCGCAGTATCTCACGGTGCTTCTTCTCACCTGCATCGCCTTTCAAGGTAACCATCGTCACGAACATCATCCGGCATCGGCAGCACATCATCTCGCGCAGCCTCTCATCCTCGTTGTCATTCAATCGTCGATGACACTGTCATGCAGCCCTCATCGACATGTCAATCATCATGATCAGTAGAAGCGTCCGTCAGCACCATCGTATATAACCCGTAGTAGTAGTAGCAGCAGCAGGTTCCAACATCATGATTATCAGCAGCAGCATTCAACCAGTCGTAGCGGTGTTAGTAATGAGTAGCAATAGCATGAGCAGCAATAGCTGACACCATAACTAGCATCGTCAGCAGCGGTATGGACAATCGTATTTATATGTGACTGGCACACGTGGAATGAAACACGGTTATTGTGCATCATCACTGTCGGTGTTGGCAACAGTGCCATCGCTGTCATCGCAAGCACGACACACAACACCCCGCGCGCTTCAGTTTACTACACGCTGGCAAGAGCATCAACGACACACAGATCTTAACATACAACATTGTGTCAAGTGCTGTTCGCAAACACCTATTAGCGCCTACAGCACAAGCCTCGGTGGCCAGAACCACGTCCGTCCGCTGTTGTCGCGTGCTCATGTTTACACACCGCACCAGGTACTCATTTGAGGCAGAGTCGATCTAGGGGGGTGGTGGAGGGCCAGCTACGGTTCAAATGTTCGCTATTGTTATTGGTCTCGAGAGCTGGAATCGTACTCGGGTCCCAGGGTTTGTAGCGCAGTGCGCTAACCGCTGCGCCACCCCTCCACACAAGCAAGACCATCATCACAAGCATCAGCGAGCTCACTTATGTGCGCCTATTAATCATCGTCCGTCAGAATCAACACGATCGATCATTCAGTCAATCAATGCCAACGTTGCATGCCGTGTTCTGTCTACTGCTGGACAACCGACTTTCTCACTTTGGCCTAACCGCCTCCGACCTCGTGAACGTACTTCAAACAATATCTTGCACATTGTATACTGGTACGTGTGATCATTATTACAGTAACTGAATAACGAAAATTATCTACATATTTAATATACGTGTACGTGTAGGAGACCCAAATGAACTAACACTTACAGTAATCTCCCACCACACTCGTGGTAGTGATGACTGCGCAACGTATGAAACAATGTGTTGTCAATTGCACTTAGTGCAGTCTTGTAAATACGAGCATAGCAGGTGTGATAATATATCCATTATTGCACCGACCAGAGTTCTACACTGTGCGCATTGCATCGCATTGTATCAGCCAATATTGCACGCACGAGTGTGTTGTGCAGTCGTTGGACTGTGCATATTGGCGTGGTTACATCGGCGGAGCTCCGTTCGTGAATCCAGGGGATTGGATGGATGGAGAGGGTTCTTCAAAGAGGGGAAATCTTGTGTAACATTCACGAATTCATTGGCCGCGTGCGAGGGAGCCAGCCCACTGTGAAACGTGTGATACGCGTTCCTTTAGCGCCCTCTCAAGGGCAGATGTCCTCACCTGTACGCGTGCAGATTGCAGGCAGAACTAAGTCCCGTCTCGACACAGGTGTTCAAAATGTGTTTCGTATGTGTGTATGTTGAACTTCTTTTGCACCCTACGTAGCTAACCGTGCTAATCGAATGTGCGGAATGAATAGACAACAAACTAAACACAAGTCGTTCTGAAGAAATTAGTTTGGGGGGAGGGGGGGGGGTTCAATCTCGATTTAAAAGTGTACAGCTCCAGTCGCCTCGCAAACATCGGAAGGAGGAGCGTTCCAGACGGCCACTGAAGCGCATCTGAACGCGCGCGATGCAGGGAGAGAGACCGTCTTTGGTTCGACGCCTCTTTTAGGCCATCAGTGACCGGTCTACTGGATTTCCAGACCGTGTATTTTTATTATTATCATCAAGCGGCAAGCGTTCGCTTAAGCACGCGATATTCTGAACCGGGGCCCCAACCTTAGGGGCCTCAGCAGTTCGTGACAATTGTTGAACCAATTCCTCCTGCTGATCAAGATGCTCGTGCAGGGCTCTGGGAACTCATTAATGACTTGCTTCGTGACGTTATGTATGAAGGGCCCTCCCGTACTCGCATTCATTGAAATGTGTTGTAATATTGAGGCGGGTGGGGTTTTTTTGGACTTGTTACAAATTCCAGAGAGAAAAAAATACGTTTCTTGTTATTATGGTCGCTTGTTATTTTGGTTACGGATGTTCCCGTTCAATGCAAAACAAAAAAGCAATACCGTACCCACTGCAGGGGAGGAGATACGTGGTGGCCGTTTACGAATTCAGATATTTCTCCTCGGCCCCAGCAAGAATATCGTATTGCGCTTAATGAATGAGATGCCGCCATCATCTTATTTTATTTTTTGCAACGGATGCATTCGCTATGCCAAACGATCTCAATCGAACTACATCCTCATGCACAGGTCTCCCTTGCGGAAGACACATTATCTATTACATTGTGTGTTTCCTTGCCGAGTAGACGCATCGTATTCGTGTTCATTTTTGTAGGCCGTCAGCTGTTTGTAAAGGAAACTTGCATAATACCTAGTGCCATAACCACACTACTTAGTACTCAGCATCAAGTGCACTCGCTGCGCCGTGTATTGTGAAGCGATGCGTTGACTGTGTGTCGTAGAGAGTGGACAGACTTTGTTTAAGACGCCTAGACGAGGTGTCAATTTCGCGAGGGAGATTTCCGAAAAAACAATTGCAGCCAGAGATATCGGCCACTTGATGAAGAAAAAAAAATCGGTACAGATCTAACAAATGTGCCAAAAAATATCTATAAAAATTGTGCGAAATGTCCAAACGTAATTATGACGTTTGTGTAGAGAAACCAAAAGTCACCGTGGTGCTCGCCTATTCACGGGGCTTTTCAAACGAGTCCCGATGTAGCCATGAGCAGTTTGAGTTCTCACTCGGCCATCGGGGGCAGCAGCAGCAGCTGCTGCTGGGTGTGGCTTGGAGACGCGACGTGGTCGTGCACTCACAGCTAGGGTGTCGTCACAGGGTGTTGTCACGTGGTGTAGTCACGGGGTGTCGTCGCTTGGTGTAGTCACCGGGTGTAGTCACGTGGTGTAGTCACGGTTGTGACGTCGTCGCAGTGATTTGTTGCTCAAATGAGCATCGAGGCAGTGTTCATCTCGAGGTCCCAGCCCTGATCGAGTGGTGGAAATTCCCTATTTCTATGACGGGGCGGGGAAAGCGAGTCTATCTATGGCACGGCCATTATTGACCCTCCTCACACGAAGTGGTCGTCGTTTTATCGATCTCCCTCCCCCCCAAAACGGATGATGGGCTGAGTCAACCCCCAACCAGGATTTGAACTCGCAACCTGCTGATTGCATGTTGCCACCTGTCCCGGATGTTGCTGTGGAGTGCATTAGCAGTTTTCAATACCAACGTGGGGTTTTTTTTTATTCTCAAGAGGAGATAAAAACATGATGTGTTTGTTATGGGGCACACCATTTTCATCATAATAGAGACAGCAATTTTGTATTCTGCTTGAAAATGAGTTCCCAATTACATTTGTACAGTCGGAGGCAAACTCAACTCTCACCGGGAGACATCCCACTTGCCTATGCAGCGGCGCACAAGCACAAACGAGAGCTCCTAAATACGCCGGCTTGTACAATAATGAAAGGTTGAGGTGATGCCCTGCCATGTCTTGCTCACGCCACCGCTGGCAGAACAGCCTCCAGTCGGACGTCTTGGAAGTGGTGGGCATGGCCGTACGTCAACCCAGAAATTTGATAAATCTGCCCACTCTCTCAACCGGTGGTCTGGTGATCGCCGGTTGTCCAGTTCGCGAACCATTACAGTACAGCGGCACCCCGTATCGTTATCAATAGCACGCTTCCCGCTTAATGTATCGTGGTGTAAGGTTCATACTGCTTCACTGGACACATTGCATGCGTCTTGTTTTACCACGGGAGGCCATTTAAGATTGCACGGGAGACTCTCAGCGCGCAGGGATATTAAACCGGGATCCCCGTTGAATAAACGGCAATTTCAAAGAAAAATATCGAAGCGTATTCCAAAATTGGGCTCGATGTTGTTGACACGGAGACCTTTGTGAGGCCAACAATTGTGTGGACTCCCTTGTTGTAGGAAAATTCCACGCTGGGCATTTGGATTTTTTTTGGATGCGTGAAATAAATCAGGTCCCCCCCCCTCCCCCTTACCATTAAACATTGTCGACTGAAATTCTCAACAACAAAAAAATTAACCCGTAAAAACAAAGTTTTTCACTATAAATCCTTTATATGCGTGGCGGCTAGAGTCCTCTCGTCCTCTGGCTTGAGATGGCTGCCACCTATGGGTCAGATGATTGTCTGCCAGTATTAAGCAATTGGTAATTAGATATTTAATTTGTTTTCCCTAAACAGTGTAAAATTTTGAAAAAAAAAATTTCACGACCATTAATTGTCTCGCACAACGAGTCTGTGTGCAAAATGTCAGCTCGATTGGATCACGGGAAGTGGGTTAAAAAACGACCGAAAGATTTGCACGGTCGTAAGCAAGCAAGCAAGCACGCAAGCGAACTTAATATAAAGGATTTAAAAAAGATATTAACAATTTATATTCTAGAAAGTTGCAATAATGTAAGGTTCCAGTAATTCAATTGTAGCAAGGTTTTCTGCTGATGAGCATTTTTTTTTATTTTGCTCTGCAATCGTTGAATCCAGTCAGGTGGCTCGGCGATGGTGGCGAGCGGTTCGCAATCGCAATGTGCGGGTTCAAATCCTAGTTGGGGGTTAACTCAGCTCATCGTTTCTCTCCAGGGTCGATACACCGAGCACCAACTTTTGGTGGGCAAGTCAACAGCCGTTTTCCTACGGATAGACGCACGCCGTCATAGCAATGTGGAATGACTCGCATTGGCTCAAGGCTGAGCAGGAAATCACTTAGATTTGTTTTTTTTTTACACATACCATTGAGTGTGTCTTTTACCTCTTGGTAAACTCACAATTTGAATTTTTCGTTGACGTGGGCGGCATGGTGGACATGCCCGCGTTGTTTGAAAGCG